GTGTTTGTTTGTTTGTTTGTTTTCCAACAAGTTATGAGTAACTACAGCCCTTGATCGAGTTTCTAAATATGAATATACCATCATCCATAAAGGAGCATATGTTAATGTTTTCTAAAAGACCCGAAAGGTTGCTCTCAAATGTATTCTAGTATATAGATCACATATATAACATATACATATATTCTGTATGAGGGGGGAATTATGCAAGCATGTCACAAGCTTGTCTGGACTGCGAAGCTTCTCTCAGTCAGAGGAGCAGAACGCATGTCACACATGCAAGAGTGTGATTCGTATGGGAAGCGCTCAGATTTCGGTCAGATCTCTGAAAGTCATTAGTAATGATTTGACGATAGACGAACGGCTGCATCATTCATTCATGCAGGACGATGATTCATGCGGTTTCGGTTTAGGGTTTCGCGTCTATGCTCACGGGAGCTGCGCGTGGGTGAGCTGTGATCTCGCTTAGATCACTGATAGTCATGAGCAAGAACCTGCCTATCGGCAAATGGACAGTGCCAGTGTGGCGCTAGGTATTCCTTTCCAAAGCTGACAGGGTATAAGCTGAGGACGCTGATGCTTGCTTGCAAAACATCAGCTCCAGTAGTTCTGCAGGCGACGCTTGAGTCTTACAATGAAGGCGCTAGTGCGTTTCGCGAGGAGTTGTCATAGGGTACGCAAGCAGTGCTACACGTCTGTACTTGCTAAAGCAATCGTTCCAGACATTCATTATCCTTCTCGTTATAAGGCGGAGCCATGATGTTTTTCCAGCAATCACCGTTAGACTTGTGTCAGCAAGACTCTGCATGGGAGGCGTCGCGCGATAGCGCGATCTATATCGATTTCTTGTCGCTGCGTATGGCTCTTAGCGGAAGTATGGACGGAGAAGCACGCCGTGTGCGTGCCCACCTGGCGCGAACCCTACTCCTTGTATACATTGAAACAAGTCCGCTGTGCCTTGATTTGCAGCATCCACGCAAAGCAAAACATGTTCGATCACGGCAAGGCTTGCCTGGCATCGGCCAGCTCAGCCCGTGACTAAGGGAACCAAGACTATAGCGAACAAAATCTCTGAACAATATTACCTGGCAATAAGAATTAGATTCAGGAATGGAGGGCATGGACATGGAGGCCCATGCCAAAGCCCCGACCGCTGCCAGCTCTGAACTAAGCTGATGAAGGCCAAGCATCTGCAGCTACTGCTGACGTTTTGAACTAAGGCAAGGCCTGTTTCCACTGTGACATCTAGGCCTCGACCGCTTGTAGCTATGGACTCAGAGGCAAGAAGGAACGCAAGACAACAAGCGCAGTGATATAAATCGATGAAGGCCAAGCGTCTGCAGCTACTGCTGCCGTCTTGAACCGAGGCAAGGTCTGCTTTCCCTAGGCCCCGACCGCTTGTGGCTCTGAACTCAGAGGCAAGAAGGAACGCAAGACAACAAGCCAAGTCGATGAAGGCCAAGCATCTGCTGCTACTGCTGCCAACCTGAACTAAGGCAAAGCCTTATCCCCCAGTCATGAACTCAGGTTGGGTGAGCAACAAAACTTGAGTGTGTGGCTACATACGCTGAAAACAACAAGGTCACAGCGGCCCGTGTGATGGCGGTCGCAGGGGTTGGGTCCTTGTGTGCCACGCACCAGTTTGCTGCGACGGAAATAAAACAGAAGTGCTTGCGCAAGGTGCCTGTCCCGCCAAAAGATCCGCCGCCGGCGCATCTGTTGGAGAGGGCCCAGGCCCACCTGATTATACAAGCAAATTATGTTTGTATAAAATCAAGACATCTTCCGAACCTTCAGAACCAGAATTACAAGCCTGGCTCAGGCTCAGCAGGAGGTGACGCAGGCATACCTCACCTTAAGACCACGCGCGCACACGTCCTGAACCAAGACTAGCCCTGACAGGTCTGCGAAGAAGAAGTAGAGTGCGTGCCTGCCGCCTTGCTCCCGGCGCTCGTTGCAGAAACAACCATCTCATGTACGCCTGACTCAGGCTCAGGAGGAGATGCCGGAGGCACACCTGAACCTCCAAACCGCCTGCAACCAAAGTCCCGCGTCATCTCTGACAGGAACTTGAAGAAGAAGAAAGCTACTGCGACCAGCCAGCCTTGCTCTCAGGGCAGAAGCATGAAAAAAAAACATCTCATGTACGCCTGACTCAGGCTCTGGAGGAGATGCCGGAGGCACATCTGACCCTCCAGACCACCTGCAATCAAAATCCTGCATCGCCTCTGACAGGAACGCGAAGAAGAAGCAGAAGAAGAAGAAGAAGAAAGCTACTGCGACCAGCCAGCCTTGCTCTCAGGGCAGAAGCATGAAAAAAAACATCTCATGTACGCCTGACTCAGGCTCAGGAGGAGATGCTGGAGGCACATCTGACCCTCCAGACCGCCTGCAATCAAAATCCTGCATCGCCTCTGACAGGAACGCGAAGAAGAAGCAGCAGAAGAAAGCTACTGCGACCAGCCAGCCTTGCTCTCAGGGCAGAAGCATGAAAAAAAACATCTCATGTACGCCTGACACAAGCTCAGGAGGAGATGCAGGAGGCACACCTGACCTTAAGACCATGCACAAACAACGTCCTGAACCAAGTCTAGCCTGGACAGGGCTTTGAAGAAGAAGAAGTAGAGTGCGAGCCCGCCGCCTTGCTCTCAGAGCTTGTCGCAGAAGCACGAAAGCCAACCGTCTCATGCACGCTTGAATCTGGCTCAGGAGGAGATGCTAGAGGCACACCTCACCATCCGACCGCCTGCAATCAAAGTCATGTATCAAATGTAACTCTGACAGGAGCGTGAAGAAGAAGAAGTAGAGTGCGACCCGATCGCCTTGCTCTCAGCGCTCGTCGCAGAAGTGCTGAAAGAAATCGTTTCATGTAAGCCCAACGCAAGCCCGACTTAGGCTCAGGAGGAGATGCTGGAGGCGCCGCAGGTCAGATGAACTGACAGCAAGCATAGAAACCCCAGACCTGAGCAACCTATTCAAGCCCAACTGCTGCGTATGATGAGGAGCAAGTCCTGGACCTGTCGAAGATCCACCCCAAGTGGCTGATGCCAAGGCAGCTGTCTCAGCATGTGGTATTTATGTGAAACAGAAGCAGACGAGAAGTTCATAATGGTTTCTAGTGTACATGAGGACATACTCAGAGAGTCACGTATTGTTTGCCTAGATCAAGTGGTAGCTAACACTCTCACTCACGCTAGGAAGAGAAAATGGGATGATCTCACGGATGAGGAGAAGCAAGATGCGGGTGGCTCAGGTTTACAAAACCCTAAACCCTAAACCCTAAACGCTAAACCCTAAACCCTAAACCCTAAACCGTAAACCCAAAACCCTAAACCCTAAACCCGAAAACCCTAAGCCCTCATGGCTTCACAACCACCCGCGCACCCATACAAGAGGCACGCCCCTGAACCTTCAAAGGCCCTCTGCAACCTGGAAGCCGGCCCCAAACCCGAAACCCTAAAACTTGCTTGGTAGCTTGCGGTTTTCGTGATAGGAGGGATATGGTATAGTTAAATATTAGGCAGGGCTTTGTGAATTTGGATGTTCGAATGTAGTTGCGGGGGTGGCGGGCGTTGTTGGGATCACAAAATATCAGAAACTACGTGTCTGTAACCATTTCGGCATCTTGAAAAAAGACATCGCGCTGTGAACCCTGAAGTCTAAGTTTCGGAGCCCCTAAACCTCGAATATGAACTTGACAGTCAGGCATTGAAGTCGATGAGAGGAAGACTGCAAATCCAGCACCTCAAGTACCCAAATCTCGCCAAGGAAGAGAAGAGGCGACGGTACTGGTGGACGCCCTGGAGGACATGCCGCACGAATGTTGCGTCCTGCATCTCGTCCCATGCATTCCTACTATGGATCTTGAACGTCTGACTTCGCAGGACAAGCCAAAGGCTATGGCATTATCGACGTGGCATCTGAGCCTGTAGCTGGGTTTGTGTGCTCCAGACGTTGAAGGGTTGTGTTAAGTTGTATAAAGGTAGTTTGGGGTTAGTACGGCTTTGGAGGATGTAGTTGATGTTGTTCAGGTCGAGTTGTAGATGTAGCAGCTGGCGAGTTTGCGCAGCTAAAGTCTTCCTGGTGGACAGTGGCATTATTGAGACTTTTAGTTCTGATGGGCTCGGAGAAGTTGTTTGCGTCAAAGGAGCAGCGTGCGAAGTCGGGTTGAATGGAAAGGGGCATGAGGTCATATGGACCCGAGCCTCCAGTTGCTTGCTGCACGCAAGCTGCACACAAACCGACGACGAAGCGGATCTTGCTGAGATTCTCTCTGCGTCCGATGAAAGGATTGTGGTGCAGTGGCCGTAGTTGTTGCATGTTTCTGTTGGCCAGTATCGCATATGTTGGGCTGTCAGTTTACTTACTGCCATGGTCAACACTGGTGTGGATGCGAGGGTTTTGCTGCCAATGCAGGGATTGTGGTAAATATTAATGCGAACAACAATCAACACAAAGAACGCACGAAAACAATTTTGACAGTTCAAGTGTAGGGATGAGGTTCTGCGAACAGATTGCACTTGCAAGCGCACGCGCGTCCAACAAGTACAGCAATCAACCCACAAAAACATTAACGCGAACAACAATCAACACAAAGAACGCACGAAAACAAGTTTGACAGTTCAAGTGTAGGGATGAGGTTCTGCGAACAGATTGCACTTGCAAGCGCACGCGCGTCCAACAAGTACAGCAATCAACCCACAAAAACATTAACGCGAACAACAATCAACAGAAAGAACGCACGAAAACAATTTTGACAGATCAAGTGTAGGGATGAGGTTCTGCGAACAGATTGCACTTGCAAGCGCACGCGCGTCCAACAAGTACAGCAATCAACCCACAAAAACATTAACGCGAACAACAATCAACAGAAAGAACGCACGAAAACAATTTTGACAGATCAAGTGTAGGGATGAGGTTCTGCGGCGGGTTCAACAAATACAGGCAACCAGCTCACAAGAATATCAATGCGAACATTTTTCATAAACAAATTTTAGCATGTATTAAACCTTCTGACGCGTATTGTGTAGCTTCAGTGTGAGCATAAACAATAAGTTTTGCTTTGCTTCTTAGTACTGCCCATAGAAACTAAGCAAAAAGAACCCTAAAGGTATCAGCCTCATATATATATATATATATACATACATACATACTTCTTTCTTTATTTATTTAAAAAAGTTAATAGAACAGAATATGACATAACAGAATAGAATCCCTATATTCTGCGTGTATATTTATTTATACACATACTTGTTTATTTATTTACTTATCTATTTACTTATTTATTTACTTGTTTATTTACTTATTTATTTACTTATTTATTTACACACATACCTGTTTCTGTATTTACTTATTTATTCAAGAAGCTAATATTCTGTAGAACCTGGAGCCCTCTGAGGGGCTCGGCATGCTGCCTCGCGGCTTTGATCGAGTCGTGCGCCCAGCAGATCTCGCTGGCGCAGAGCTCCCGGGAGGCCTGCGGTTTAGGGTTTAGGGTTTAGGGTTTAGGGTTTAGGGTTTAGGGTTTAGGGTTTAGGGTTTAGGGTTAGGTTTAGGGTTTAGGGTTTAGGGTTTAGGGTTTAGGGTTTAGGGTTTAGGGTTTAGGGTTTAGGGTTTAGGGTTTAGGGTTTAGGGTTTAGGGTTTAGGGTTTAGGGTTTAGGGTTTAGGGTTCCCCTGAAATTAAGGAATGGATATATACATATATATATATATATATATGTCTATATATATATATATATCCTCAAATCGTACTCGGGTTCCTACTATAATTTAAGGGATGTTCCCCTGAAATTGAGGAATATACCCTTAACACATACTAAGGTTCCTACTACAGTTTAAAGGATGTTCCTGTATTAAGGCCCTAAACCATGAGCCATAAACCCTAAACCCTAAACCCTGAACCCTGAACCCTAAACCCCAAACCCTAAACCCTAAACCCTAAACCCTCAATTCAGGGTTCTTGGGGTCTCGGGGCCCAGGTTGCGGCCTGCACCCCCGCGTCCGATTCCGAGGAGCTGCTCTCCCAGTCGCTGCCCGAATCGGCCTCGTCCCCTGCGGGGTCATGGGACTCTATAAATTGGACCCCTAAGGCTGTAAGGTTTAGGGTTTAGGGTTTAGGGTTTGGGGTTAGGGGTTTAGAGGTTAGGGTTTAGGGTTTAGGGTTTAGGGTTTAGGGTTTAGGGTTTAGGGTTTAGGGTTTAGGGTTTGGGGTTTAGGGTTTAGGGTTTAGGGTTTAGGGTTTAGGGTTTGGGGACCCTTGCTCAAGATCCTCTAAGGGAATAGAAGGGCCATATTAGGAGTGTACTCAGGGGAAGTTCTTAGGGGTGCAACCATAGGGGCGCTTGTCTTTATCCCTTGAGCGGGAGCGACGCTTGACAGCGACCTCCTGTGCGTTGTGACCCTAAACCCTAAACCCTAAACCCTAAACCCTAAACCCTAAACCCTAAACCCTAAACCCTAAACCCTAAACCCTAAACCCTAAACCCTAAACCCTAACCCCAAACCTAACCCAAACCCTAAACCCCAAAGCCTCAAGTCCTGTCGTCAGGGTTTTCCGAAGCCTGGACCCAAACCCAGAACAGAAAGCCAGAGCCGAAATACCAAAGACTCTATCACAATCGAAATGTAATATAGCAATGTGAGATAGAAGCAAATACATTTCCCAAACAAACGAATATGTAATATCATTACATGCATATAACATGTTCTACTTGGAGCTTCATGGTACTTATGAACCAAGCATAACTGTACTTATAACCCACTTATAAGCCCCGTAAGTTCCCTAATATGGTTATAAGTACCGTTATAAGAACACTTATAGTTGGTTAATAAGTACCATGAACCTTCAGGTACTATCATCTGATATAATGCAGTCTCACATAATATCATATAGTATAGTATGTACAACCCTCGTACGGTAATATGAAAGCCCCAACCTTCCGGATCCCTCGACTTCGATGCTTCAGCGGCAGCGCTGCCGCGCGCGTCGGCGAAAGCCTTCCGGCAAAACAGGTTCAGGGTTTAGGGTTTCGGGTTTAGGGTTTAGAGGGTAGTTTATGGGGTATCCTCTGGGGCATCTTATGGGGAATGTTATAGGGTACTTGACAAGGCATTTTTATGTGGAATCATGAAGGGTGCTTCTTGGGCATTGTTCAAGGCATGTTTAGGGTAGGTAAAGAGTCTTGACTCTAAACCCGAAACCATAAACCCTAAACCCTAAACCCTTGATTCTTGGTAACCCAGTAACCATCTTACAATAAGGGTATCCCTGTCTTGGTTGGGCACGTGATACGGGAACCTGGACCCAGAAAAGGGTTCAGGGTTCAGGGTCTAGTGTTTAGGGTTTAGGGTTTTTGGGTTTAGGGTTTAGGGCATGCTGGGATTTTTGGGGTTAGGCCGGTTAAGGGCTCAGGGTCTTGCAAGATAGGAGGAACCTTCGAGCCCTGAACCGAATGGCGTATGGTTTAGGGCTAAGGGTTTAGACGCTAAACCCTAACCCTAAACCCTAAACCCTAAACCCTAAACCCTAAACCCTAAACCCTAAACCCTAAACCCTAAACCCTAAACCCTAAGGATCTGCACTCAGAGAAACTGCGTGGGGAGTCCTGAGAGCATTTCTGGGCTTTTGCGCGTAAAGCTTCCCTAAAGAATATTTATTGTGAGAACCCTAAACCCTAAACCCTAAACCCTAAACCCTAAACCCTAAACCCTAAACCCTAAACCCGAAAATGGGCGTTACTTATCCTTAGCTGGGTATAGTTTCCGTAGCTGCCTGATGTAAGGCACGTGGGTAGTTCTCAAGTTAGGATTTAGTTTCCGGTTCTTCTTCTTTAAACCGCCATACTATGCATAGGATCCTCAAAAAAGGACCCTAATTCAGAGAACTACCCTTAAGCCCTAAATCCTAAACCCGAATCCCCAAACCCTTGACCCTAACCCGAAAGCCATGCAAGGGCCAGGAAGGTTTCTCCACCCCTAAACCCTAAACTCGAAACGCTAAACACTAAACCCTAAACTCTACCTGCACCCCCCAACTACCCGTTAATGTCAGGGCCAGGAAGGTTTCGCTACCCCTAAACTCTAAACCCTAAACTCTAAACCCTAAACCCTAAACCCTTAACCCTTAAACCCTAAACCCTACCTGCTGCTCGATGAGCTGCCAGTGCCCATAGTTGCAGCGCCGTCCGTAGCCGCACCGTAGCGGCCCCTGTCTTCATGCGCGGCACATCCTACACTTCAGGGTTTAGGGTTTAGGGTTTAGGGTTTAGGGTTTAGGGTTTAGGGTTTAGGGTTTAGGGTTTAGGGTTTAGGGTTTAGGGTTTAGGGTTTAGGGTTTAGGGTGTAGGGTGTAGGGTGTAGGGTGTAGGGTGTAGGGTGTAGGGTTAGGGTTTGGGGGTTAGGGGTTAGGGGTTAGGGGTTAGGGGTTAGGGGTTAGGGGTTAGGATTTAATTAGGGCTTAGAAACTTTTTAGGGCTCCGGACATCAGTGAGAAACCCTAGCTTGTATCTTCGTTGGGCCCTCTGATAGGAATCGCGCATAACAGGGTTTAGGGTTTAGGGTTGCGGTTTAGGGTTTGGGGTTTAAGTCCGACTTCCCACACACCAAAACTGGGGCAGGTTTGGGAGCCCTACAAAGCAAGATTTTGCGGCTCTATGAGGCAAAAGAATCAGGGCACTTCAAAAAAAATCAGACCTACCCCTGAGAAGCAAATCAGTGAGTGGAAATTGCTGGGTAAGACCATCTACCCCTCTATACGACCCCCGCCTAGGGAGCCCCCGTGAAATAACCGCAAATTAGCTTAAGAATCCCTAAATAGCCTTACTTCTGGGGGGAACCTAGGACGGAGGTAGTATAGAGGGGGGTAGTAGGGGAGTTGATGGATGAGAGGGTGGGACCCTGAACCCTAAACCCTAAACCCTAAACCCTAAACCCTAAACCCTAAACCCTAAACCCTAAACCCTAAACCCTAAACCCTAAACCCTAAACCCTAAACCTAAACCCACGTGGTGGTTCAAGGCCAGGGTGCATGAGGTGCAGGGCTCGCGTGCAGATACTTGCCGTGGGGCTCACCTAGGACGGCCGGTATCAAACCCTCTCCCGAGAAGGGTTTAGGGTTTAGGGTTTAGGGTTTAGGGTTTAGGGTTTAGGGTTTAGGGTTTAGGGTTTAGGGTTTAGGGTTTAGGGTTTAAGGTTTAGGGTTTAGGGTTTAGGGTTTAGGGCTTAGGGCTTCGGGTTTAGGGTTTAAGGTCCCTCAAACCCTCTGTAGCATATTCCTGCATAAGATGATCCTCTTAAACCCAACAAGGGAAACAATATGCAAAGTATCCTAAAAAGGGGGCCTGCCTAGTCACTGAAGTTGCAGATGCCGCGCATGAACAGGCAGCAGTGCTTGGGAAGATAGATCTTATCCGTCTGCCCCGACAGCGCTTCGTAGAGCAGCAACCCTGGGTACTTCTCGCAGAAGCTGCGGATTCCACCTTGGGGGTTACATGAACCCTAAAAGGGTTTAGGGTTTATATGGTTCATGTACCTTAAGAGGGATTATAGCAGTAGAGGGTAATATGACTCCGATGTTACGTTTCGCTTGGTCTCCCAGGCACCTGCTTGCTGGATCACCGCGCGGAAATCCGGGTTCTTCTTGTAGAAACCATCAAGCTGATCCCATCTCATGGGTTGGTCGCAGTCTTCCTAGGCCCAGGAGTAACCCAGGAATAACAAGAGTACCCTTTGTAGATTTAAGGGGGATTATAAAGGAACCCCAACCCCTAAATTATTTTACCTCGAACATCCCCACCCTCTCTTGCTAGAGATACTCTGGGGTTGGGCACTCCAGGGACACTCTGGGGCTGGGCACTCCGGGACACTCTGGGGCTGGGCACTCCAGAGTTGGGCACTCCAGAGTTGGGCACTCCAGGACACTCTAAAGTTGGGCACTCCAGGGACACTTTGGGGTTGGACACTCAAGGCGAGGAGTAGACCGGGCGAGGTGAAGAGTTCCGGGCGAGGAGAAGAGTTGAGCAAAAAAGGAAATAAGGGCCTACTCCGGGTCCTAGCTTCCTCACTTGCGTGCCACATGTTCTTGTTCTGAAGGGACTGGGTCCGGGGGGGGGTCTTTATCGTCTGAAGGCCGAATGTAGAATGTAGATAAACCCCAAATGCGCACCAGCTGCCAGGAAGATGGCGAGGCGGGCGGCAAGTTGGGCAGATGGCGGCTGTGCCAGCGTCACCCGCCAATGTGGCGAGTTGGTGCCCTCGCGTTGCGTGCTTCGGCTTTAGGGTTTGAGGTTTAGGGCCATAGGTTTATTTTTCATCACGAACCCAACTATTTCCATATGCGAAGTTCAAGCCACTGAACCGGCTCTACAAGTTGCAGGGCCATGCACATAAGTCAACCTAAACTACAACCCTAAACCCTTAAAACTGAAAAAGCAAGGCTAAGCTGCCGGTCCTCCGAGATGGCAAAGCGATCCGGGTGCCTGGAGCAGAAGGCCCTCAAGTTGGGGATCGCTTCCCGATGCGCGGGATGCTTGGCATAGAAGTTCTGAAACCGCTCCGAGGAGACGGAGCCGCCGTTCTCGCCTCGGTAGCCCAGAAGCCATCTAAGATGTAGGGCACCCAATTTTGGGGGGTTGAGTACTTTATAAGGCCACCTTGAACCAACAAATTGAGAAAAGCGTATGTTCCCCCTTCTACTAACAGAACAGAGCCTTAATAGGGATGATAATGGGGTACTAGAATCCCTAGTAAGGACTGCTAGTATAAGGGGGAACATCCCAAGATACCACTGGGCCGCCAGGTCGCAAAGGAAGGCGGTGAGGTCTTCAAGTATCGGGAGCTCGCTGCGAGCCCAGGACCTCAGGCCGATGCAAATTCCCGGGCGGCCGGGGCTTGTCTCAACAGTGAAGGTATCGTCCTTGGCTGCACTTAGGAGGGGAAATTAAACTTTTTAGCTGCCTTATTAAGAAACCCAATAACCCAAAAAGGCTAAGGATCTAAAGTTACAGTAAAGCACCACAAAGCGTCATGCTCTTGGCAGAACCTGGACAGTGTCCGGTCGCCTGAGTACACCACCGCCGCTGATGCCTGGGGGAGAGGGCCAAGAAGCTGTAACGGCAACCTATTCCTCTTGGTTCCTCGAAAGAGGGACTATAGCATTTGGGGGTAGACTAGGGGAAGCTACCCCTGTTGTGGAGAAAAATGCCCAAAACCCCTGCACCCAACAGAAACCCTCAGCCGTAACAATCTAGACTCTAACTGGACCCACCAAACCCTAAACCCTAAACCCTAAACCTTAAACCCTAAACCCTAAACCCTAAACCCTGAACCCTAAACCCTAAACCCTAAACCCTGCACCGATTCGGCCGCCTTGTGGGAAGACTGAAGGTCGGAGAACTCCTTGGACAACAGCGGGCGACCCATGGACCGGATGAACGCCGCCAGATTGCGCACCGCCTCCTGGATGCTCTAGAGGTTGCCGTTCAGGTTCTCCGTTAGGGTCTAGGGTTTAGGGTTTAGGGTTCAGCATCTCAAGTTCGAGCATTTACTAGGCCAGCAGTGTGTTCAGGCAACGGAAAAAAACCCACCCGCCCAAAGAATCCCATAACATTAAGAAAATAAAAGGTTTTCTTCCTACTCCAAAGAGTTTTACCTACCCAAGTCAGACACGTTTTCAACAACATTAGGAAAAATATCCAACCTCCTTCTTCTCTAGGCACGTGGTCAACAGAATGGATTTGTTAACCACATGTTTTTGTTTCGAGCGGACAAGAAAACCAAACGTGGTCAACAGAATGGATTAGTTAACTACATGTTTCTGTTTCAAGCGGACAAGAAAACCAAACGTGGTCAACAGAATGGATTTGTTAACCACACGTTTCTGTTTCAAGCGGACAAGAAAACCAAACGTGGTCAACAGAATGGATCTGTTTATCACATTTGGAAGCCATCTTGAGTTTCTTGAATCGATTGAGGGGCTTCAGGGGCCTCAAAAACAGGCGCGGTCATTCGGGAACTTATTCTTTGGAAGCCATCTTGAGTCTCTTGACTCTTTTGAGGGGCTTCAGGGGCCTCAAAAACAGGCGCGGTCATTCAGAAACTTATGCTTAAAGCCATCTTGACAAGCGGGCTTCCCCACCCCACCCCTTGATCCACTTCATTGTCGAGAGGGGTTGAGGGGGGGGGTGGGGGGGGGTGGGGGGGGGGGGGCCTTGCCCACTAAATATAAGACCTTGCCCACTAAATATAAGACCTTGCCCGCTAAATATATGACCTTGCCCGCTAAATATATGACCTTGCCCGCTAAGTATATGACCTTGCCCGCTAAATATATGACCTTGCCCGCTAAATATATGACCTTGCCCGCTAAATATATGACCTTGCCCGCTAAATATATAACCTGGCCCGGGCAATATATTTAGCGGGCAAGGTCATATTTAGCGGGCAAGGTCATATATTTAGCGGGCAAGGTCATATATTTAGTGGGCAAGGTCGCCCTTTAGCGGGCAAGGTCATATATTTAGTGGGCAAGGTCATTTTTTAGCCAATGGACCTTGCCCACTGAATATATGACCTTGCCCGCTAAATATATGACCTTGCCCGCTAAATATATGACCTTGCCCACTAAATATATGACCTTGCCCGCAAAATATATGACCTTGCCCGCAAAGTCATTAACATTTATAATATATCTGAAAGAGTGGTTTAGGGTTTAGGGTTTAGGGTTTAGGGTTTAGGGTTTAGGGTTTAGGGTCTAGGGTCTAGGGTCTAGGATCTAGGGTCTAGGGTTTAGGGTTTAGGGTTTAGGGTTTAGGGTTTAGGGTTTAGGGTTTAGGGTTTAGGGTTAGGGGGCTCAGGGGGCTTAGGGGGCGTAGGGTATGCAGCCCGAACCCTACCGACCACATTTGCAGGTCATAACGCCCCCCCTAACATGGAGGGCGCCGCCCCTAACAGACACAGGCAAATCTCGGAGGACAAAGCGCCGACATGGTGTCCTGCTCCACGGACGCCAGGCGAATAGTCCACTGCCCCTCCGCCTGGTCCACCACGCTGAAGTCCGGGCAGTTCTTGCCTAGGATGGCCCTTAAACTATTTAACCCTCTTCGGGTTTAGGGTTAAGGGTTTAGGGTTTAGGGTTTAGGGTTTAGGGCTTAGGCTTTAGGGTTTAGGGTTTAGGGTTTAGGGTTTCGGGTTTAGGGTTTAGGGTTTAGGGTTTAGGGTCTAGGGTTTAGGGTTTAGGGTTTAGGGTTTAGGGTTTAGGGTTTAGGGTTTAGGGTTTGGGGTTTGGGGTTTAGGGTTTAGGGTTTAGGGTTTAGGGTTAGGGTTTAGGGTTTAGGGTTTAGGGTTTAGGGTGTGTAGAAGGGAAGCTCGCTGGTGCTAAAAACGCCCGGGCCGCTCGCTTGCGTTAGCATGTAGTCCCACCCCAACCACCCAAACTATTCTCATTTAGGGTTTAGGGTGCACCCCCCAAACCCCCCTCAAGGGTGGGTTTCTTATTCTTTACAGAGAAAGAGCAGGGTGGGGCCTCCCTTTGCGGGGGTGCCCAAAACCGTCGATTGCAATACTCAAAAACACACATTTTCATTACGGGTCTGGGCAAACCCTGGTTCCTGCAGCCTTAGGGCAGCAAAACGGTACGGGGAAGCAGGGGCCTCGGCCGGTCCCTGCAGAGATCCTCAGTCCCCTGGCAGGCTCCGGTGGGTCGGCGTCCAGCCATCCAGGAAGGGAGGGGTTGCAGCGGTTTCAGGGAAGTTTTAGGCTTTGGAAAGAAGTTGCAGAGAGGTCCCAGGGGAGTTTCAGAACCCAGGCGGTCCCAGAAAGGTCCGAAAAAAAGTGCCACAAACCGCATGTCAATTTTTTGTGCGAATCGTGCAGGAGGCCCCCCTGGACCCGCCCGGGAGGAGTATGAGTTCAAAAAGTAGCCGCCTATCTGTTTTGGATAGGTACCTATTGGATAGGGGTCTATCGCAATCAGGATAGGTCCCTATCCGTACCCCCCTACCCCCAGGCGATAGACCCCTATCCCCAGGATTCTCCCCGATGTGGATAGGTACCTATGCATAGGCCCCTGTCCGGAAAGGATAGGGGTCTATATATAGGGGGCTGTCGCCCGGACCTAGACCCCTATCCGTGGCATAGACCCCTATCCCTTTCCGATAGGGCCCTATCCGTCCCTTCCTTCGTCGCCTCACAACTACCTGAGTCCCTACACCCTAAACCCTAAGCCCTAAGCCTGAGCCCTAAAAAACCCTAATCCCGAAATCCAAAAAGAAACCCTAATCCCTAAAAACCCTAAACCCTAAATCCAGCCCTAAACCCCAAAAAGGCCTAAACCCTAAAGAACCCTAAGAAACCCTAATCCCAAAAAAACTGTAAACCCTAAACCCTGAGTCCCTACACCCTAAACCCTAAGCCCTAAGCCTGAGCCCTAAAAGACCCTAATCCCGAAACCCAAAAAGAAACCCTAATCCCTAAACACCCTGAACCCTAAATCCAGCCCTAAACCCAAAAAACCTAAACCCTAAAGAACCCCTAAGAAACCCTAATCTCTAAAAAACCGTAAAACCTAAATCCGGCCCTAAACCCTAAAAACCTGTCCCTAAACCCTAAACCCTAAACCCTAAACCCTAAACCCTAAACCCTAAACCCTAAACCCTAAACCCTAAACCCTAAACAACCCTAAACCATAAAAACCCCGAAACCCAATAAGCCCTAAACCCTAAACCCTAAACCCTAGACCCTAAACCCTAAACCCTAAACCCGAAACCCTAAACCCTAAAACCTAAACCCTAAACCCTAAACCCTAGACCCTAAACCCTAAACCCTAAACCCTAAACCCAGCCTTATGCCCAGAAAAAATCCCTAAGCCCTAAACCCTTAAGAACCCTAAACCCTAAAAACCCCTCAGCCCTCAACCCTTAAAAAACCCTAAGCCCTAAACCCTGAAAACCCTAAACCCTAAACCCTAAAAACCCTAAACCCTAAACCGTACAAACCTCGGAACCCTATAAGCCCTACACCCTTAGAACCCCTTGCCCTAAACCCTAAAAAACCCTCAACTTCAAACCCCGAAAACCCTAAACCCAAAAAAACCCTAAGCATAGGCATGTTTTTTCAAGCCCATCATGCGAGCATTCTGTGTGCAAATGGGGGGGGGTTGCGCCCCCCCCCCAAACCCCCGCTTAATTCTTTTTCGAACCCATCATGCGAGTGGTGTTTGCAAATGGGAAGGGGGGGGGTAAAAATCCCTAAACCCTAAACCCCAAAAAAAACCCAAACCCTAAGAATCTTTAAGTCCTAAAAGCCTAAACAGAGGCATGTTTTTTCAAGCCCATCATGCGAGCAGTGTGTGTGTCAAATGGGGGGGGGCTGCGCCCCCCCCAACCCCCCCGCTTAATTCTTTTTCGAACCCATCATGCGGGGAAGAATCCCTGTACCCTAAACCCCAAAAAACCCTAAACCCTAAAAATCTGTAAGCCCTAAAAACCCCCTAGAACCCAAAAAACCCGAAACCCTCCCTAATCCCGAAACCCGAAAACCCCTAAAGCCTAAAAAGCTCTGAGGCCTGAACAAGAAATCCTAAACCCTAAAAACCCCTAAACTCTGAACCCCCCCAAAACCCTACAAAAACCCTACACCCTAAACTCTCGCTCGAGCACAAGTGATACATTTGTTACCATAGGGGTCTATGGGTTTGTGGATAGGGTCTATCCGGAGGGGGGTAGGGGCCTATCAAAAATGGACAGGGGTCTATGCCGCATAGGGGGGTGGTATAGGTAGGGATAGGGTCTATGCATAGGGGTCTATTGGAAAAGGCATAGGGCCTATGCATAGGTGTCTATGCATAAACGGACAGGTCCTATGTATAGGGTCCCACCACGGACGGGGAAGGCTCAGGGAATAGGACCCTATCCCAAAACCATAGGGGTCTCTATAGGGTCTATCGACGTCTATGATAGGGGGCTACTTTTTAGACCTATCTTCCCCGGGAGCGGGGGGGGTCCTTGGAATCTGCCAGCCTGGGACCACCAAAAGACGCCAACGGTGCGTTGGGGTCCTATTTCTATTATGGCTGACGTCCTAGGTCTGAGGCGTAGCCAGTCACTGCCGTCTCGTCTACCGGGAGGCTTTACCCTCCCTCACAGTTCCGTGGAGACGCTCGGTCGGGGACCTCGGTCGAAGCCTCGAGTGCCCATGCATACGGACAGCGGCGCTCTCGGCAGTTTAGGGTTTAGGGTTTAGGGTTTAGGGTTTAGGGTTTAGGGTTTAGGGTTTAGGGTTTAGGGTTTAGGGTTTAGGGTTTAGGGTTTAGGTTTTGGGGCTCTTAAGCCCAACAAGGTAAAACATAAAGTATCCCAATGGCTCGCCTAGTTGCAGAGCTGCTTGATGTTCAGGGCATGGTGTGCTGGAAACCACTTGCAGAAGTTGCTGAGGCGCCCGGAAGTCAGCACGCCACCCTCTTGCCCCACGTACCTTGTTCATTGCTGGGATAATATTAAAAATTCAAAATTATATTCCTTATTGGGTTTAAGTACCCTTAAAAATGTAAAATGTTACCCAACTATGACAAAGGTACCACGCCAAGTCAGCGAGGGCCTTCCTCTCTGGCGGAGCCATTGACATGGCCCCGCTCGCGCCGGATGTTCGGCAATGACCCTTAACTCAACTGAGTGCACCCTAAACCCTAAACCCTAAACCCTAAACCCTAAACCCTAACCCCTAAACCCTAAACCCTAAACTTCAGGAAATTGCTAAGACTGCAAGACGCTATAACTCGCTTGCTCCTAAAGTTCCTGATGTCCCACTATGCCTGGATTCCCTGCCCCTCAACCCTCAACCCCCTGAAATCCTAAACCCTAACATCCTGAAACCCTGGCCTCCTAAACCCAAAACTCCTAAACCCTAAAACCTCAACCCTTAACCTGAATCCCCCACCGAAACCCCAAAACTTAAACCCTAAACCCTAAACCCTAAACCCTGAACCCTAAACCCTGAACCCTAAACCCTAAACCCTTAACGACACTGTAGGCGCGTGAGTGTTCAGTCGATACGGGAGCAGCCCCCAGGAGCCACAAATGTGGGCTTCAGTCTTCGTAGGGTTGAGGGTTTAGGGTTTAGGGTTTTGGGTTTTGGGTTTAGGGTTAAGGGTTTAGGGCTTAGGGCTTAGGGCTTAGGGTTTAGGGTGCAAGGAGGGACCGGCCACGCAAGTAGTACTAGCCCCACATCGTGAGGATTGGGTCAGGACAAGCGCAGATCGAATCAAGACGAGTTTAGGAGACAGTTTAGGGTCGAGGGCTTGGGGCTTGGGGTTTAAGATTTAGGGCTATTTTAAGGGTTTAGGTTTAGGGTTTAGGGTTCAGGGTTCAGGGTTTAGGGTTAAGGGTTTAGGGTTTAGGCCTCTTGGATGCTCTAGAGGTTTTCGTCAGGTTCTCGTTAGGGTTTAGGGTTCAGGGGTCAGGGTTTAGGGTTCAGGGTTTAGGGTTTAGGGTTTAGGGTTTAGGGTTTAGGGTGAAGGGTTTAGGGTTTAGGGTTTAGGATTTAGGGTTTAGGGTTTAGGGTTTAGGGTTTAGGGCCTTTTGGAATATAGGAAACATGCGGCTGCGTCTTGCGTTTTCGGTTTTGCCTTCCACTTTTGTCTTCAGCCATAGCCCTGTTGATGAAGGGCAGGGGGGAAGCTCTTCGAGAGGGGACAGACGAAAGTTCAACCCTTTTCGGCTTTGCCCGTCCACCTGCAACAGTCAGTTGGTGGAAGCGGCCGCAGTTGCCTCCCCTAACCTCGAAGTCAGCGCTCCACATGATGTGGGGGTTTTCCTTCAGCATAAAGGGGCCGTCTTAGAAGGAGGGCCCGAGAAAGGGGGCCATCATTTGCGAGAACCATCCATGCAACTAGGAGGCACCTGCATCTTGCTCCTAATTACGTCTGAGGGCGGTGAAAAAAACTCTACGGGGCACGGCGCGGGCATGCGCAGCCGGCTGGTTGTACTACTTCACGGGAGGGGCGCGGGTGGAAGACGCGGCCAGGCCCGTCAGGCACACCCCCACGCACCCACCCCGCCCTCACTACGCTGCGAACTAGCGGGCTGAGTGCTCCATGGCCAAACAACCCTTAACCCTAAACCCTAAACCCTTAACCCCAAACCCTAAACCAAAACTAGCCTTGTTCAAAATGGGACTCCTTGTGACCCCTCGTGGGTGAACCCTTAGCCCGAACCCTCAACCTTGAAGAGAAGCCAACCGAGCATTTATGGTCTAAGGGTCAGCTTGAAGCTACATGGGTATTTGTAAGCAGGGTAATAAGTACGCTAAGTAAGGTCAGAACCATAGACACCCTACTTAAAACCCAGCTTATGAGTACCCATGAACCTTTAAGTAGAGCTTACCGGAGTGATTGGCCAGCACATACCACGCGTCTTGGCGGACATCATTCTTCACTTCTCAGCTGGGCTGGTGCCTCGGGACCGCCCAAGTCCAGCCTCAGAGTCTTGGGATCTCAAGGCGTTGACCGTTTGGGGTTAAGCTAGGACCCTAAACCCTAAACCCTAATCCCAACAAGTCTTAAGGGGTTTCTAAGCCCTTAACCTCTCGGGCCTCCGGGGCATGCACTCTCACACCTAAACCCTAAACCCGAAACCCTAAACCCTAAACCCTAAACCCGAAAAAACCCTAAACCCTAAACCCTACACCCTAAACCCTAAACCCTAAACCCTAAACCCTAAACCCTAAACCCTACACCCTAAACCCTAAACCCTAAACCCTAAACCCTAACCGTCAAGCCTCCAACGTGTAGCCGTTTAGCCGAGGCACAGGGTCACCACGGCTGCGGGTTTCGGGCCTGCAGAACCATCCAATCAGAGGTTTGGGGGAAGGGGAGTTGATAAGGGTTTTGGGCTTCGGGGTTTAGGGTTTAGGGTTTAGGATTTAGGATTTAGGGTTTAGGGTTTAGGGTTTAGGTGTTCGCCGCTTTCCCCCAAGACGGGTCCAGGGTTGTTGCAGTTCGAGTTTAGGGGTTGAAAGGTTTTCAGGTTTCGGCGATTGGAACCTCAGCGTTTTGGGTTCCAGGGTTTCGGGTTTGTTTGGAGTTTGGGGATTCGGGGTTGTCGGGCTGGTAGGATTGCTGGAGCCATGCTTCATTAGGGTGGGGGGCATGCTGGATGACAGGGTGTTTCGTTCCGAAGACCCTAATCCCTAGACTCTAAACCGCTAAACTCCGTAGGCTCGAAGCAAAACACCCAAATCCTGAACCCCAACCGAAAACTTGAGTCCTAGATCTGCACCCCAACATCCCCCGACATTCCAAGAACCCGAAGCCCTCCAACAGTCCCAGACCCCTAAACCCCTAAACCCGAAACCCCGAAACCCCTAAACCCCTCAACCCCGAAACCCCGAAACCCCGAAACCCCGAAACCCCGAAACCCCTAAACCCCTAAACCCCTAAACCCCTAAACCCCTAAACCCCTAAACCCCTCAACCCCTAAACCCCTAAACCTCTAAACCCCTAAACCTCTAACCCCCTGAACCCTAAACCCCTACACCCCGAAACCCCCAAACCCCTAAACCCTAAACCCCTAAACCCTAAACCCTAAACCCTAAACCCTAAACCCTAAACCCTAAACCCTAAACCCTTAAACCTAACCCCTAAACAGGTGCCGAGAGGCACGAGGTGGCAGCTGACGAGTAGATGTGCCACGCATCCAGCTGACGGCGCAGAACCACCACCTCGGCTCCCAGCGGCTTAGGGTTCAGGGTTCAGGGTTCGGGTTTAGGGTTTAGGGTTTAGGGTTTGGGGTTTAGGGTTTAGGGTCCAGCAGGGTATTTGTTCTCATGAGGCGCCACTTGGGCAAGGTTTAGGGTTTAGGGTTCGGAGATTGGGGTGTGAGGTGTGAAAATATTGTTCTGCTGAATTGGGCGGGAAAAAAGGAAGAGACCCAAGCCGGCAAACACGGGAAAATGTGTACAACAGGGAGTCCCGTTTAGGGTTTAGGGTTTAGGGTTTAGGGTTTAGGGTTTAGGGTTTAGGGTTTAGGGTTTAGGGTCTAGGGTTTAGGGTTTAGGGAGTCCCAGCCACGGTGTCGAAAGGGCTCGCATGGCACCCAGGGAAGCCATCATCTTTCCCTGCCCAAGCGGCGCCTCAGGAGAGCAAAGACCCTAAACCCTAAACCCCAAACCCCAAACCCTAAACCCTAAACCCTAAACCCTAAACCCTAAACCCTAAACCCTAAGAAGAACCCGAAAGTCGCAAAAACCACTATAGACCCTGAAGCCGTGACAAGGCAAAACTGCGGAAAAGCCATCCCAACCCAACTACACAGAGTGTGTTCAATGATTGGAAGCCTCACATGTTTAGGGTTTAGGGTTTAGGGTTTAGGGTTTGGGGTTTGGGGTTTAGGGTTTAGGGTTTAGGGTTTAGGGTTTAGAGCTCCGGATCGCGTGGTATTTCCGCAGAAAGTCTTCGCCGACACGATGTTGCAGCAAGGAAGCCAAGGCATCAGGCAGCTTGTAAACGTGGGCTCGGGCCATGACCTGGTGACTCCACGTGCAGCTGATACTGCCGGAAGCACACTATACTCTTCTGTGGCTTAAAGTGATTTTCTGGTCCTTCAGCACCACAGTTAGGGGCTCCACGTCGAAGGGCGTGATCTTGCCACTGATCAAACCTTGCACCGGCTCCGACATTGGCCTCCCGTCCTGGAACACCCGCCTTGGGTTTATGATCCTTTGACAATACTGAAGCTCGTTCACGTTGACATCCCAGCAACCTTCGTACGCGACGGCCTCCATTATGGCTGTTTCGGCCTCGTCAGCATGTTCAAAGTTTCACCGAGGAGGATGCAGCCGCGTCCGCAGCTAGCTTGCGGATGCACGCGCACATCTGGTCCACTGTCTGCTGCCCGGCTTCCTCCACGCGTACCCTAAGTCCTTGAAACGTCAGGGCCATCAAGAGCGGCATGTCGGGCACGCGGGTAGAACGTGGGCTCTTGCTGCGAGACCTTGAGCGGGACCTGGCACTAGCTGATGCCTCGGAAACGATCGACGATTGTGTTTCTCCAGACTGTGCTGTGCCTTCACCAGTGAGAGCTCGATGTGGCACACGCTGACCTGTGGGCGCGGACTTGCACGCCGGTCCGCCCCGCAACCGGCAGAGTTGAGACGGAAACTCGGCCGTCGGAGCCGTTTTTGGTGAGGATGAGCGGCTCCAGCCCCAAGCTCACAGCCGGCGTCTTCTCCAGACTCATCGCTGACGACCGTCAGAACGCTCTGCGCGGCCGCTGCCCCTGCAGCCTGCGGGCGCGAACGCCCCCAGCACCAATACAAGAGGTGGCTTCAGAAGCGGCAGCACCTGGAGAACCGGTGGCCAGAAATCCATGTCTAGCCAGGAAAGCCTCCGGCGTTCCAAAACCCAAGCTCTCGAACGGCCTGCCTCCGAAAAGAGCATGGGCGGCCTTGCTGCCAAATGCTGCTCACGCGTGCTGCACTTTTTGCACCCTTCTCCATGATTTTGGCTGCTGCAAAGAAGGCTATCACGTTGCCCTCCGTCGCTGAGGACTGCGGCTTCTTTGATGAGTTCTGGGGCCTCTTTGGGGAAGCCTTCTTGATGTGATGACTCCTAGGGCGACGCGAACCAA